CTCTTTGTCGAATTACACGTTACAAAGAAAGAAGGAACGATTAATTCTGAACTCGTCCCTGAGTACGAATATGACACAAGCCCGTAACAAACTCGATTTTCATTGGACGCTCACCTGCAATCCACGAGCTGCGCGCGCACACCAGGTATTACGAGACACGTCAATTTCACTAATGAATGATTTTCTTCTTTCATTCTATATTTTTTTGAATATTTTACTGTGTTTACTAATTGTCTACACACTTTGTTACTTCTAGTCGACTTACTGGAATTAACTGGCATTATTGGGATGAGTGTGGAGTGTGGGTCTGTATCGTAAAAGATTCACGTGAGATTTAGCGTTACTATATTTCGGTAGTAAGTAGACCCTTTAAATTTTTTATTAACATTTCAGTTCCATCTAATATAAGTCCTTTCAAAAATGTACATTCCACTCCATTTAAAACTTTTCATCCTTCTCAAGCACCAAACAGAGGAGCAGACATTTTCCATGCTAAGTGCTAATTTAATAATGCTTGGCTTTTAAAGTCATAAAAGTCCTTGTCTGCAGGCATATTTGAACGTTTTGAAGTAGCTACAATTCGCACAAGCCCAATTATTGTGTTACTTTTCTTTGTTCAAGAATGTTTTAAAACATTTTCCTTGAATCCTCTGCTTAAAATTTCAATTTTAGGTGCTTATTTTTATACTATATGAGTTTACTGCTTCGAAGTTAATTTATATTATAGGGCCAAAATGCTTATAACCACGAATAAAGCCAGGGAAATAAACTAATAATCAAAGTTAAAAACGATAAAGTACTCAACTGTCGCTATTTTCATTTATCATTAGCATAGCAACCTACCATAAATCACTTATAAATATGTATACGTACGTATAATCCACCCACACATTAAAACACTAACTAAAAACAAACAATCTAGTAAACAACAACAAATAGTTATTTATGATATAAGTGTTAAAAGTACATTTTTAAGGCACGCATGTGAAAGTTTGCAGAATGAGCGAAGCGAATTCTGCAATTCACATAAGTGCCTTAAAAATACTTTTAACACAAATATCATACAATATTTTTTCTACAAACGGCAATAACAAGCAATAACCAGTGACAAATTGGATTTTTAAATGAATAATAAATTGGAAGCATCTTTCCTACGTAAAATTATTGAATTTGATATTTGTCAAAAAATTCAAACAACCAGCACCTTGTTTTACAGGTAATGAAATGTCTCGTCAGTTTCTTGAAAGTATGTCGTATGGTCTATCGTGGTCAGTAAGCTTTTTGCTAAAAATGCAACAAAATACACACGAAAAAGAGGGTTGCATCAATCCCTTGAAAAATATAGAGGAGGCGGCCGATGGAGCTTCCTCAGTTGTTCAAATTTTACCATTAATATTAATGTAAAAAATTAAAAATTGCATTTTTAACACGTTTGTAGAAAAAATCCTTTAATTATGCTGAAATAATTTAAATTTGAAAAACTCTTCAAGCTCATAGTCTTGCTTCATCAAAAATGTAGGATAAGGCCCCATTGTTCCACTTTAGCGACAAAGCTCACGTTACCAAATAAATAATATGGCGTTAGATTATTGCACACAAGATGTAACAAGCAACATATGGCGTTTGCACACATTTTTTTAAACAATAATGTGCATTAGCATTCAATGTCTTCTTTTTTAATGGCGGTGCGTGCGCTATTAACTGAATTTTAATATTTAAATCGAATGCATTGCTAAGGTGGTAATTGGAGTTCTTCTACTCGGTTTCAAAGATTAATGATTATGTATGTTTCAATTTATCAGATGGTTTTATGGTGTGTAAACTGATGAATGGGGGTTTATCAGGTTTACACTGAGTTTATGTATTCAATTTTCAGAGTCCGCATTTTCTCAAAAAGTCATACAATCTATTTCTTTATCTTTGAGTTTTTTGCAATGGAGTTTCAAAGTTGATAATTTTTAACCCTCCATCGCTCGCACCCTTAGAAAAAATCTAACATTTTCTAAAAATTTGTCATAATTTCTACAATTTTTCATTATTTTTGCCGTGTATCCAGAGTGCGTATTGATGATGCAATGACAAGTAGTGAAGCTAAAAACTGGAGAAAGGCTATGGAAAATGAGATAAAAGCATTAGAAGATGATGAAACGTCGTCTCCAGTAAATAAAGAGGGTACATAAATAGAAAAATGGACGAAAATGGAAAAATTTCAACATTTAGATTAGTATCGAGAAGTTTTATGCAGGAGCTTGGTGTTCAACCAGTAATGATATTTATGGTCCTGTAGCTAAATTGATATCAGTAAGGATTTTCTTAGCTATGTGTAACCAAATTTTGGTTTCAAAGTAGGAATATCAACTTGATGTTTGTTACGCCTTCCTATATGGCGATATTGATGGGATGTTTTTATTTCATTGCCAGAAAGTTTTGATGAAAATGCAGGTAGAATAGTCAAGCTAAAAAAATTCTTATGGTTTGAAATCATCACCCAAAAATTGGTACAAAAAAATTAATGATTTGATCGAGGATTTGATGTTCTCTCTAAATTTCATAAGGTCTGAAAGCGAATATTGTATTTAGTATTTATATAAAAATAGATAGTATATTGTGTATTTGGGTGGAAAAGTGAAAACGCAATACCTAAATTTCAATCACACTGAATTGAAGCGTGATAAGTCTGAAAGCCAAGATATAGAAAATAAATGTCGAAAAGCAATAGGTTCACTTATGTACGCTATACTTTATTCTAGACCGGATCTGTGCATCGCAATAAGTATTTTAAGTCGATATCAATCTACGGCAAATATTCAGTTATGGCAATCAATCAAGAGAAGATATGTTCAGGGTATACTACAAATATGTCACTGGTGTGACTAGACATGAACTGCGTGGATGTTTTTTAGTAGATCCGCAAAATTACCATTATTTTTAATTGCAGCATAAGTAGCTTGATTTAATTCTAACTTATTTTTGATTGATGAGAGTGAATAATTCAAAATTTGAGGAACAGAAGTAGGTATATAATCTTCTGAATGCTTTTGCGCGAATCTAGTGATTGGGCTTCTGTTAACAATCTCCTCTAATGTTAAGGTATTATTCTCTAACAATCGCAGTCTAATGTTATTGTACAGTTGCGATCAAAAAAAAGTAGTACAAGAAAAATCTCCAAAATCTCCTGGTCTATTATACATTAATTAAATTCATAACCAAAAATGACATATTTTTGGCATTTTTCGACAAGTTTTTAACCTAGAAAGCCTCAGATGACATTACTTTAGCATTTTTCCACCAGTTTTTAACCTAGAATATGTCATTACCTGTCAAAATTTTGTATGTTACACCGGGACCTCAAATTGGGGCTAATAATTTTTGTACTACTTTTTTTTGATCGCAACTGTACATATGTGTCAATTTGAAAACTTCCCACCCCTATTATCTCGGAATAGAAAAATTTTCGGAAAAATCCCTGAAACACGTCAACTATAATTTGAAGGGGGATGAGTTTTTATGCAAAATTCACCTTCCCTCTTTTCCTCCCTCTTCCCTCCCAGCCCCCAGAGCCACCCCCTAGAAAACTTTAAATAGGAAGGGGGGTCAAGTGCTACATCATTTTGGAGGGTTTTTAATTCCATACATTTTGGTACAAAATTTTAATCCCTAAGTTCAACTGCTTTGGAAATATTGACAGTTGAAAATTGACTTTTTTGCAGCTTTGACAGGCTGTAAAACCTAAACGGTTAATTTTAGAGGAAACCCGATCTTACATCCTTGTCTTAGATTTTTATAAACTATCATTTGACAGTAACTTTAAATTTAATCCATGATCAAAAATTCCGGTTGAAAATTTAATTTCCGGTTAAATTCAAAGATGGTCAAATGATAGTTTATGAAAATCTAAGATAATAATGTAAGATCGGTTTTCCTCTAAAATAAACCGTTTAGGTTTTACAGCCTGTCAAAGTAGCAAAAAAGTGAATTTTCAACTGTCAATATTTCCAAAACAATTGAACTTAGGGACTAAAATTTAGTACCAAAATGTATGGAAATAAAAACCCTGCAAAATGATGTATCACTTGATCCCCCTTCAAATTATAGTTGACGTGTTTCAGGGATTTTTTCGAAAATGTTTCTACTCCGAGATAATAGGGGTGGGAAGTTTTCAAATTAACACCCTATAGAAGTTAGTCCAGAAATAAGAGAATCTCTCATGTAGCGTAGCGGATCAAAACATAACTTTATGCAAATCTATGAAACAATTTTTAAGTAGTAATTTTTCTAAATTATTTCTGAGCTAATTTTAGGCATTTTCAGAAACTAAGTTTTCTGGAATAAAAAGTCATAAAGTCCTTACGAATAATGAAGAACATATAACACTATGAATTTTTTTATTTATTCAGGATATAGAAAAACATATCTTAATGCTAAATCTCACTTATTCTACTGGCACTACATTAATAAATTATCAGTTGGAATGCATGCATAGATACCTACCTATAGGAAATGTATACAATAACGAGAAATCCAGTAAATCTTATTGCGGACGGAAAAAAAACAATTTATACTTACATTGAAGCAAAAGCTTGTAAGAGCCGAAAATATGGGTTAAGGTTATTATTACTAAAAGCTGTTAATTTAAGGTGGAGTGTTTCAATTTAAAATAACGTCGTAACACCTAATAAATGAAGAATGTAGTTTCTTCAGAGAAAATTAATCCAGATATTCAAGAAGTTACACGAAATGTTCAAAAAATTTCTATTTTATATAGTTTGTAGTGCACCTTTGTCGTCAATTCACTTTTTAAGGTTTGTCTCTCTTTGATTCAAACAAAACATCAAATGTTAAGAATCTCATGAGGTAGGTAGGTACAGCAACAATAGTACACAGAGCGGTAAATAAAAACGCAATACAATAATATTCATTTTCAATAAACTCGTAGGTATCATCCTTTTTCCTTTCCAATTAAATCCACCGATACATTGAAACGCAAATGTCAAACTTACCAGAAACTAAAAAATATCCGAAAACAACGATTACCAGTTGCACCAAATTAGTCCTGAAAAGCATGATCGGTCAATTATTAGACGCACAATTTAACGAAAACAAACAAGTAAGCACGTGTAGAAACAAAATAAAACTTTCACACATAAAAAGAGCCGCAAATTAAATTTGAAAGTGTATGGCACTCTGCGCAACCGGTCAACAGTACCTTTGCATTTTGTGTTTGATACTGGTAACCGAGCGAAGACAACAAAAACATAAATTAATTCTTCAGAGGAGGGATATAGGTACCATTTCGCGGTTCTTCAGTCTCGTATTGCATAGTAATGTTTTTTATTAGGATTATATAAAACGCGTTCGCCCAAGAGTCCAGAGTAGAGATTTGATTTAATTATTACTTAAGTAATATTCTTCAGTTCAGAGTAAGTTCATGAAGAAGTGAAACACCTGTTGGTATGTTGTAAAACCTGCCTGCAATTCAAATTCTAAACTTTATTCATTGTTGGACCTGTTATATCATCTTACAAACCAACAAACTGAACAAACACTAGTAAACAAGTTACTTTTGCGGTCTTTATTAGGATGGTTTTGGGTCAGGTAGGTTCGAGGGTAGGTTTGTGTTACTAGTTGATTTAATTGAACTCAAACAGCTGCTGGCCGTGTTTTCTCACAAGCCCACAGAATCTAAAGTGATGAAATTGTCAGTAAATACCCAATAGGTAAGTACCTACTTATACGATGTTCAATAAACGTCTGCTTGCATTGCAGGCCCTGCAAGACCTCTTCTAAAACCAAATGGAGATTGTGCTTATGCCAACCGATTCACCCCAAAATGAAACATGGTAAGACATTGCTGGATAAGGCAGCGTCATGAGATAGTTCCGGTTTAAGCTTCGAGGCAGAAAATTGCACCGCTCCATTGTTACTACCCCAATAATTTGGTATAGGTACCCATGTGAAACGATCGACAGTCCAAGACAAGACCTTTCAGAGGTTCGTAGAGCTCAACTCCATTGAAAGAGGGTAGTTCAGTGCGAGCTTGTTATTAAAATCCCTATGGGGAGGGGCGGGCATAATGACATAGACGGGCATAATGAATTTTTTCTTTTATATAAAAATCTGGCAATATTTGAGGTTCACTAACCCAGCTGAACGTTTGCAAACTGGCAACATTGCACTGGCTGTAGTAGAGATTCTCTAGACTACAATTAGAGGAATTTATTGTGCTTTTTGTGGTTCCCGGCTGTTGACATTCAACTGTAAGTAAATTTAGAAATAATATTTTCCTAACTTATATACGTTTGTACTGAAGTTTGGGGATATTGCTTTGACCACATAATTAAAGGCTATAAATTCATAACACAATTCTTAGGTTAATGGCCATTTTCACGTTTTTGTACCCCAATTAAAAATACCAAACACGACGGGCAAAACGACATATCAAAATGGCGGGCAAAATGAATTAGTATGTCGTTTTGCCCGTCTGCGTTATTTAGCGCTCCAATGAAATATTTTTGTTTAGATGGTTTACTCATATAAAAGAACGACAAATAGAGGAACCTGGAATGAGGCGGATATGGAGAGAGCTACAAGCTGTCCGCAATGGCGAAATGGGCTGGTTAAAAGCGAGCAAGTCCTTCAATGTACCCACCGCAACTTTGCGTCGTCGAGCTCTTGGAAAAAATAAATTCGCCGTTGATACTGAAAAACGCTTTGGATCTTTTCAGTTTGCATTAGATAGAAACCTTGAGGTTGCGATTGTAAATCATATGCTTGACTTAGAATCCCGTTTTTTCGGAATGACGACAAGAGATGTTCGACAACTGGCGTATGAGGTGGCCGAAAAAATGAAGATCAAACACCCCTTTAATAAAGAAACTAAAATGGCTGGAAAGGGGTGGCTTCATGGATTTCGACAACGTAATCCTCAATTATCATTACGACTTCCAGAAGCAACGTCGCTCGCCAGAGCTGAGGCCTTCAATAAACCACAGGTGAAAATTTTTTTTTCCAAGCTGGAACAAGTCCTTAGAGAGCACAAAATTGATAAAACCATGGTATTTAATATGGATGAATCCGCACTGACCACAGTGCAAGTGCCACCAAAAGTGTTTGCTCAAAAAGGCAAAAAACAAGTCGGTGCTGTCACAAGTGCAGAGAGAGGGGTACACACAACCGTTGTTGTCTGCATGAGTTCTGGGGGAATTTATGTACCGCCATCAATAATTTTTCCGCGGAAAAGGTTCAATCCGGACTTATACGATGGAGCACCCATTGGAACATTAAAACTTTACAATGAGTCAGGTTACATGACGTCAGATCTGTTCGTGAAATGGATTAAGCACTTCATAGAACACGTGAGACCCGCTGCAGAAAAAAAAGCTTTGTTAATTTTGGATGGCCATTCTAGTCATAAGAGTTATGAGGCCTTACAATTGGCTAAACAAAATTCAATCGTTCTTTTGTGCCTTCCTGCACACTGCACGATCACCTTCAGCCATTAGATGTCGCGTTTTTTGGTCCCCTTCACAAATATTACAACCAAACTGTAACCCAATGGTTAAAAGAAAATCCCGGGCGTACAGTTACCATTTACCAGGAATCCAAACTTTTCAACTATGCCTACGAAAAAACAGCAACACTTGAAATTGCAACTAGTGCGTTTCGTGCCACAGGAATATCGCCTTTCAACCCGGACATCTTTCCTGACCATCTATTTTTACCCAGTTTAACAACGGACGTGGCACAAGCAGTGACTTCCAAAGATGAAAATCCTGTTATTAAACATACAAAAGAAATACAACCATCCACTGTGGAACCTACAGATCAAGAACAACTAAGTTTCACAGAAGAAGTGAATGATCCAGGGCCTTCATGCTCTTCCAAGAAAGTAGATATTCAAAATATCTTACAAGAATTGTCACCAGTGCCTCAGAGTAACGTCAGAAAAACCGTCAAACGCAAAACTGGTGGATACCAAGATGTTCTAACCGAAAGCCCATATCTGCAAAGCATTCGTGAGAAGGAAAATGAAAAAACCCAAGAACAAGAAAGAAAGAAAAACAGGAACGTTGTCAAAAGAAAGCTAGTGGAGAATGACTCAGATGAAAATAGAGATGAAAAGCAACAGGAGAATTTGAGAAAAAGTAAAAGACATCTTGGAAGGCATAAACTAATTGAGGGCGAGGCTAGTGAAGAAGAAGATCCCTACTGTGTTAGTGACGATGAAGATGACTGCCCGTGTCTTTATTGTAACGATCTGTTCAGCAGATCAAAATCGAGAGAACCTTGGTTGCAGTGCCAACTTTGCCACAAATGGGCACATGTAGATTGTGCAGGTGTTCCAAGAAAAACTAAAATGTTTGTTTGTGAACTTTGCAAGGACTAAATTCAGTATTCTGTTACATATGAAATTGCATTTTTTTATATTTATGAGTTATATATTTATTTTGTTTGTGCCTTTTTTTTGTATGCCATTTTGCCCGACCTGGCCGGGCAAAATGATTTAATGTTGAGAAATACGTTTGATTTGATCTCAATTAAACTCTTTGAATAAAAATGGATTTTATTATCTGAAGTTATAGAGTACATCACTGGCTATCGACACACATAAGAATTCCTTATTTTAGCCCATTTTTTTAGTAAATTTCTTGAGTAAATAACTAAGTATGTCATTATGCCCGCCTCTCCCCTACCTACCGCCCGGTATCAACGAATATATTAGTCAAGTCATAACTTCTAGAGTGTTAGTTGTATCAAAATTTAGATTTGGTATAGGTAAATGGTATAGGAAGAGGAGAGTTTTCACTTCCGGTTTCACCGGAAATGACTCTATTTTCGAATTTTTAAATGGAACATCCTATACATTTTCTCAGATTTCAGAGACAATTATGGATCACAGAGAGATATTTTGAAAAGTTTTCACGCCTTCTCGATTTTTTCATAGCTTATATAAGAAACGTAAGAACTTCTCTGGTATTGTGAGGCGGTTGTGCTCCACCTTGTTGGAAGGAAATTCGTCCTAAAACAACTAAAGGTACCTAACCCCTCTTAGGTGACCTTGAAACAATATTAGTCCAGTCTGTTTTCCACGATACTGGATGTTGATTTAGATAGACCCAGTACTGCCAGTACCGAGTATGTACCTATTTGAAAATCTGGGTTCATCGGCAAATAGAAGGTAGGTAGTTGATGAAATTTGGGTTAACTATATGATTCTGAAGCAGCCAATGACAATACAGTAGGTATAGTATTTCCAAACTCAATTAGAACAAGATACCAACTGAGGGCTGACTCTGACTGGTCACTGAAAATTTCCATTAGAAATACACTGCCACTAGTCAGCCACCAGATATTTATGTTCACGTTTCTCTAATTGACTTTGGAAAAACTAATGTCTGTTTTTTTTTAAAGATAATTCCCCAAGTCAAAAATTTAGTAAATATGTTGACAACACAAGCCTTTTCTACATAAAAAAAAAATTGAAAGGGTTACATTCATGAGGTGCCAGCGGCTAAGTTCAGCCACTCAGCAGGGAATTTATTCTCGAAACAGGGGAGCATCGTTCTCATGAGAACGCTATTCCTCGGTTTCGAGAATAAACTCCCTGCTGAGTGGCTGAGCTTAGCCGCTAGCACCGTCTGAATGCACCCATGACAATTCTACCTTGGGTACATTCAGGCTGTAATGTCATTTTGACTTTCATCTTTAAAAAAAAAAAACAGACTTGATACCAGTCTATCGTCAGCATACAAATGTTTGTATCGGGTCTTCAAAAAAAAAAACCAATCAAAGATTGCTTTGAATACGAAAACATATGTCGCATTATTGTTTTTTTATTGGTCAGGATTTTTGACATGACATTTTGACATTAAAGTTCATTGAAAAAATTTAAGAAAAATATTGCTTAGACATACGTTTAAAAAACCATAGCAATCTTTGATTGTTTTTTTTTTTGAAGGCCCGATATAACTGATATTTGAAGGCTCGATATCCGCGCTTTTCCCGTATTTTTCTTGCTGATTCGTGACTTATCTGTAACTCTTGACTAAGTTTTCTTAAGAAAACTGTTTCATGTATCTCAACTATGAAAAGAACGTTATTCTCGGTCTCTCCATTTATGATGAACTTGTTTCCCTTCTTGCCTAAAACGATACTCAAACATACGGAAAATACTGATGGGATGGTTGTTGCCTTGATGCGAATGGTTCAAAGCGGCTTGAGCGGTGGGAGGGGAGTGGCAAGTAGTGTATGCCCTATGTCAAATTTTTCACGCCCTATCAGCTACGGCCTTGGCACTACTCCCCCCAGGATGGTGCTCTAGATCCGTCACTGGTGGAACGGGCAGCTGAGACGTCTGAAACAAGATGCCAG